CATATCCGACCTTTAGCCCGAAACGATGCAACCGGCGGACAATGGCCTAGTTGGCAGAGCGTCCGCGTGCCGTCCGGGAGGCTGGGTTCGATCCCAGCCGCGCCTCGACCCAGGCGTTAATTGGGTACACACTTTCCCCTTTGCCGGGGGCTCAGACGCTCGGTTCCCGGCTTGTTGAGAAGGGGAAGTGTGGGAAATAATGGGCCAAACGGCCCATTATTTCTTGCTTAGTAATTGTTTTGCCAAACAAACAAATCATTAAACATTTAATATAGCCCCTAGAGTATACAGTCCATAAGTGCGAGGTCGGATATTGATAATTAATATGCAAAGAAAGGCCGTATGCCGAGAGACTGTGATGCGACAGAATTTTTGAACCACACACGGGAAGCATTCACCAGCCTCAAGAAATGTCAGCGAATTCCGTCAGTGGGAATTCCGTTGTCAAGACGGAGGACTGACGTGAATATTTCATGCCATGAAGTAGTTGGCTGCCGATTAGAGAGATTCCTTTTTTTATTTTAGTCATACTACATATAATAATAGAATACATCGCAGATTCTATTCACGTGGCAGATCAGGAAAAGTCAGATTGGAACGCAAATAACGGTATGTAAAAAATACAATCAGCAAATGTACTCAAGAATGAAATTTAAAAAATATATATAAGTGGATTACTGTTATTTTCTCCGGCTCATCCGCGCTATTTCGGTCCAGACGTGTTTTCCTTGGGAAAACATCTTCGTTTTCGATTAAAATAATTGTTTTTTTTTTCTTATTGGGGAAGAGACGGAAATAACAGCAGTAAAAGCTATAAACGATCTCTCATGCGCGCCTCATTTCGAGGGAAAAATATTCTTTTGCAGTCCATTCTACTAATTATTCGATAGATACCGTGATTTAAAAAATGTATCGAAAGAAGTATAATTTTAATCGACCACTCAACCCCGCCCCCTCTTTTTCCCCGTCTTGCAGAACGATCGAAAGCGAATGTTTAATCAAATAACTGGAAACCAATTTTTATTTCTTGAATGCAGCAAGCACACACAACGTGGAACAGTTAGAGTAAATCTTTGAAGTTTTGTTTAGTGCTCAACTTGTCCACCTCTTTCAATACACGTATGGAGATAAAATTTTGCATTTTGCAAGACATTTTGCACAGATGACACGGGACAAGCTTAACGCTTGTGGGTGCAAGGGAAAAATCCCCACAAAAAAAGATTTGACGGGTATGTAATGGTTTTGCGGGTTGGTATTTCCTCTGTACAACCGCAACACTTTCGTGAACCGCAAAAAAGTGAATTGAAAGAGAAGCTGGACATGTTGAGCACTAACCAAAACTTGAAATATTACTCTAACTGTTTCATATAAGTTTCAACGGGAAAGTTGTGTATGCTTGTTGTATTCAAGAAATAAAAATGGGTACCTATTTACCCTATAGAAGGTAGTCGTTTTCGCACTGCGCACTCTTCAAAATGGCTTACTAATATTTGGAAAAAGGGAACAAAAGAGCAAAGCCAGACTTTCAGACTATTCCGAAAAGAAGCTTCCTGATCCACTCGCATCTCGTGTCCTTCCGCCTAGCCTACGGCCTTTAACCGTACAATGCATGATTTTTTTTTATGTACCAAAAAACATTTTTGACGATCATATTTTTCCATGTTGATGAGAAAAATAATGAACAAATTATCCTTTCATTCCGGTTTTCCCATTGCGTTTCAATGCAAAGCAGAGCGTGCCATATCAGGCACACCATGCCAGGCCTCGCCGCGTGAGGCTCAGGCAGCAGCGGCAGAGCGACCGAAAAGTCACTGGATGCGAATTGGGAAAAAAAGAAAGTCGCAACGAAGAAGCTGCAAGGGAAAGCACAGAAGGAAGAGTCGGGCAGGGACAGGAGAGAGCATAAAGACAGCGGAGCGAGAGGCGAACGTCTGAGTGCACCGGCGAACGTCCGTGGGAGCCCCAGGAAAGTAACCGAGAGAAGGGGGAAACCCTCTCCTCTTCCTTGTTTCCTCCTATTTTTTTTTTTTGCTCATCCATTCTGTGTTGCCCATAAATCATAAATGAATCTTTAAATCTCCGCGTAATGAAGTGTCACTCATTTATATATTTGCATCCTTCCTTCATGGGTTGGCTAAATGGCAAAGGGCCTCAATGCGCTTCTTTGCTTACGTTTCATTATTTATCTGGCTAAGTTTTATTTCCGATCGGAATATGTTACATGTAGGATGAACTAGTACTGGATGTCAGCAACTGCATCGCCTTGAGTCACTTCCTGAGGCTCATGATTCTGCTTGTGTCATGCCCAACACCTAGGACACGATTCAAGAAGGAACCATGGGATCGATTAAAATTCCATTACATTTTTTTTCATCGCTGGACAGCCCTATTCATTTGACGCATGATTTATTTTTAAATTACGTGTTTGGCGCTGATTGCACCCACCGATGCGTGCTGTCTCATGAAGTCAAATTCATTCTAACGGTTAAGATACAATTTAAAAATTGTTAAGAGCCGTACAATAGCTAATTATGACGATTTTTAGCCTCCACGTTCATCAAACATTTGACGAGTCGATGAGCTGCGTGACATGACACAACAAAACGATAAATTGCATAAGTTAGTGTAAAAAAATGCCTGAAACCTTTCGTTCCTTGATCAACAGAAAAAAAAAATTAGATTCTTTTTTAAGCAGATAGCCAAAATTTGCAAGTAAAGCAAAATTGAACGGCAATGAAAAGCAAAAAGGATATGCAAAGGGGAGAAAGTTAATTCTAATATCTAATAAAATGATGACTCGTGGCACCAATTTTGTGTTTTTAAGTGAAATGTATCTGCGGACTTGATTCTTTTTTGATCGGGAAAAAAAAAATTAATTTTCTGAGATGTCGAGAAAGGCTCCTCGCCGACCAACGGTAAATAGGTCGTGGCATTCCACGTGACGAAAACGACGCGTGGAGCTTCCAGAGGATTTTCGTTTCCTCTGAGCTCGGATCAGAATTGCTCTGAAGGAGCAGTTTCCGGACCGAGCGGAATAATTATGCATGAAATACCCAATTACCTTACCCGAGAGAGATGAAATCTCCTAATTATCCGTCCCAGAAATACACGAGGAAATCCCACTCCAACCGGACAGCAGAACTAATCCGGATCACTTGGAAGATGGTTGAAGAGGCCACGAGGTCGTGCGGCACGGGCGGGTCGACCTCTCACGACTCGACGCAGACCTGCACTGAGACCGCTTTCACCTTGTGGGGGCGTGAGATGCGCATGCGCGTTCTTTATGCTCTGGTTGCCTCCGAGGCGGGGAGCGTGCAAGGTCACGGCGGTGATGGGGAATGAGTCATTTTGGATCCATGCAGTCAGTTGGTTGAATGGTCGATTAAACCGCTTCAAGTACAGTAAAACTCGGGACCAGGGGAAAATCGTCGTTATAACCGAGGTTGTCTTTAGTGACATTCCGTTTCCCTGTTTTCTTAATAGATGCTATGTAACGTTACAACTCCAATGCCGCAGTAGCTTCAGTTTCGGCATTTGACCCACTAATCGTAATGTTCGCACTACTTTGGACCTTGAGCAAGGCCTCGTCGACGTCATCTCGACAGATTACGAAGTTTCTTGTTTTATGACGTGTTCTCGTAAGCACGGACGAAGCTATCACGATTTCCCCAAATTGTGGAAACAGACGTCCATACTCACGAGCAAGGTTAGCTTTACTTCGCCACACTTTCTTTTGGAATCGTGAAAAGCTTCTCATCTTTCTTTTTCACTGGCCATGTTGTCAACGAGAAATGCAATTGGTGACTGATGATAAGATGATGTTACTGGGGATCATCCCTCCTCCACGTGACTCTCAAGGAATGCCGATTCCAGGAAAGATAAAGTTATGGTTCGCCATCTCTCATTTTTCGAATGATGGAAATTCCAGTTAGGAATGACGAATTAGGGACATCGACGTTGTCAATTTCGTCAGTGGGACCTTGAATGGACTTCGTTACAACCAAGGTAAATTTTCGCCCGTTCTATGGGCTCTACGCCGGTGCTTTTCGTCGTTATAACCGAGTTTGACTATATTTAGGGTAAGTCGTGGGCCTGACTCAAAAGTCAGGAGCATGTTTATCAAGTAGATCTTGATGATCATCATTCAAAGGGATGACGTCAAATAAGAAAAGGCCATAATTGAGAAAAAATCAAGCAAAATTCATCTTTATTTACAAGGCTTTGGCAATTGATTTTTTTTCTCTGGGGAAAAAGTCACATCACATGAGACTGTTTGCTGGAAGCAAATTCATCATGACCGGTAATACTGACAAGAAACATGGATCATTAGATAACAGGTCTCAGCTCCCACTTCTCGGAACATGATAAGAGAAAAAACCAATATATATTCTCATGGATTCATGCAGAGAGTTAACGCTTCGAAGTTTCAATCGATGAAATGGACACACGTTCAAAAAGGCAGAAAAATGAGCTCCGTTCGTGAGGCAAAACCTGCCAACGAGAAAGAAAGGCAGTGACATCAGTGACAATAAATCCTCATCCGAGACTTTTTTTAAACCTATACAATTACTCTTTGAAATGCACCATTCACAACTTTATGATGCTATGGATATCAAGAGATCAGCAGGTAAAACAAGCATTAAAAACAAGGTTCTCACAATTGGGCAGAATGCATGTAAGATCATTTAAGTCAATAGATGCCATCTCCCAATATTTATCAGCTTAACAAGGAAAAATACAAAAAAAAGAGATTGCAGGTTGTAGCGACAGCAGTAGGTACTCCAGGAAACCGAGGCAGAAGGGGTCACGCACGACTGTGAGAAAGCCACGCGTGCGACGCACAGCATCGCATGCGAGCCTTCGCACAGAGGCCTGGGTGGTCAAGTGCAAGTCCAGCCTGCACTTGGAATTATGCAGCTTCCCTCCTCCTGCTTGAGCATTGTTCAGTCAGATTCTTTCACTTATCAGTATCTATCCAGATGGTGGCAGGCTCTTTAACATGACATGACATGTATGGGTGCTTTGCATTATGCTGGATGAGAAAACTTCCAAAATACCAGAGAAATATGGAAAGTATCTTCCATTCTAACAGGGTGAAATGAACTTTGAAATGAAATGAAAATGAGATTTTGTCATTAGAATGTCCAGTAGTTTTGAAGCTTTGGATATTTTGCTAGCCCAATGTCCTCACAAACAAGGCATTTTCAGAAGAAAGAAAGGGGAAGGAAGGGCAAAAAATCGTAGGCAGCTCTGCTGGAAGGACAGGAAATAGGGAAATTGCCTCAAGAGGGGGGGAATAGAAGCCTCTCGAAAAAGATTTGAGCAGAAGAGAGCTGCCATGAGTAAAAATAGTGAGCAATTGCCAGGTGCTGCTAACCTAGCCAACAGATTTCAGGAAAGAAAAATCTGATGACAAGGAAGCGAGAACTGCCCTCAGCATCACGTCAAGAATTCATACTGGTACCTGTACCATGAGAATCTTTTTCCAAACGAGAAGCAAGACAAAATTTCTTTGTTTCTTTTTTTGGCAAAAAAGAAGAAGAGATTCTGGCCCCACAGGAACACAGAAAGTGAGGCAGGTAAAATAACTACCTGGGCATGAACAAATGCATGTCTTTTGATGGAATTGCATGTAGAATTTAAATGCCATTGAAACAGGTAGGGCAAGGATCAACAACAAGAGAAGGGGGGGAGGACTTCATTCCTCCATCACTCTGATGCATTGACACAAGGGAGTTTAGGGGGAGATGAAAGAGAAAACCTGATTGCCATGAGCAGAGGAAGAATGAACCCAAGAGGGTGGGGGGGAAAGGGGGGAATGAGGTGCGAGGTGGCGCTAAGATGGTGCATGCCGTCCACCACAGATGCCACACTGGACTCCCAGTCGATGACATCCTCGTAAAGGCCAATAGAAGCATAAACAAGGAACAACAAGAGAAAGAAGGGTGAGAAGGAAGCATCGTCTCATTCCTTGGGCAGAGGATCCCCCTCCCCCAAAGCAATGACACGGTTCCGAGTCCAAGTCCCCTTCGTCGTCAGACACACAGTGGTATTCCACAGCCGAGGCGCACCATATGCAGCTCACTGTGTCCACTGCCTGCTGCACTGGGTCGGGTGCATATCGACATCCTCCTCTCCAGTTCCGCTCAGGAGAGAAGAACATTTGGCAATGTTTGCAGCGAAACCGAGCACCAGACACGAGCGTGTCACTCTTGTCCTTGGCGCCTTTGCCTGCCAGGAGAGGTAGGTCATAGAGAGAAGGGAGGCGATGGTCAGTCACCACCCCAGGGCTCGCATCGCCGGCAGCAAAGTTCCACAGTCGATCCATCTCACACACTTCCTTGTTTCTGGTCTTGTTCTGGATCTTCCTCTTTTCTTTCAGCTCCTTTTCCTTCAACTTGTTCTTGTTCTGAACCGAATACACAACTGGGTAGCTGTACTCATGGATTGGAGGCTGCTCCTTTGAGAAGTGAACATAGGAATAGCCCTGAGGGGATGAGGATGGGGGAGGGATGAGAGAGTCTGAGAAGGACGATGGGAGAACTTCCACATGTTCACATGCATGCCCAGGATCTGATTCTGCATAGAAGTGCCCTGCAGATGTCCCATGAACATGATGTGCAAAATGTCGATGCTGGATCTGGTGCTTGCAAACGGAGTGAGGGTGCGTACACTGTGTCAGGTGCTCTTGTGCCTTCTTCGATGTCAATGGTCGCGTGTGCGTGTGGATGTGGGCCGACGGTGGAGGAACTGGAGGCGGATAAGCATGACGTTGAACTTGATCTTCCTCACCGGTCACTGCAGAATCCCCACCTGCTCCCGTTTGGTCTTGTTCACAATCATCAATTCCTGCAGGACCTCGTTTGGGCGTGGGAACACCTTCACTATTGTTGCCTCCATTCTCCACAGGAAGATCCAGAGCCTACGATGATCCAACTCATGTTGTTTCATTTGCTCATGATCAGACCACCTTCTTTGTCAGAGGAACTTACCATGAATACATCATCTTCTCCCATGTCTGATGGATGCACAGGGTCATCATTGTACATATCTAAAACAATAAACAACAGAATTAACAAATGCTATAAACTGGCAGTCAATACCTAAGCCTAATTGATTTGAGCCATTTCTGTCTGCTCAATATAATCATTTATGCAATGATGGAGCAAGAAGTTGATACTAGCTTTAAGTTAGTGTTTGAAGAGGAGCCACAACATGGCAGCCTGATTAAAAAAGAAATGCAGACTACCATGGCACCATGCAGTTGTGTCACACAAAAGTAGTGCAAGAAAACGGACTCACCACACAAACGAGGTGAGAGGATGGTGAGAGCAACAAGAGAGTGTGCAGGAAGAGGAAAGAAGGCAGAAAGAGGGAAAAGAAATAAAGGAAGAGATGTATCAAGCACTTCTCAGATCTTTTCCTTCAGTAAGACTCAACCACATACGAGTACATGACTTTATTTAAAGAAAAACTTCCTTTCTTCTAGGAAACAAGGCAAGTGTCTTACAACAAGCCAGTATGGCTTCATACTCCTGTGAATATGGGATACTTTCTACCACTTCATCTCAGAACATTTCTTCTTCTGTCATAACAGTTTTGTCATGCACAATACCTTCTCTACAAAACTGCTTTCATCTCAATGACATGTAACAACAACAGGGATCTTTTCTTTAAAAATGAAAAAAAAGGATCAAGTAATTGAGCCTTCATTCTCTATGCAGTGGAAAGGCATTGAGAAAGAGAAAGAATAAGACTGACCTTCGAGCATTTCATCGACGGCCATGCGGATCCCCCGGTCAAAGAGGCGTCCGTCTGTGGCTGTGATGAATGTGAGACCATACCTCTGATCTCCTGTTTGCCAATGATGGAATGTTGGAATGACCTTGTAGTACACAAAGTCTTTCTGGATTGTACAATGTAGAATTTCCTGAAAGTAAAGGACAGATTTACAGTTGCCATGCTGTTTCAACATTGATGAAACATAAACTTTCCCTTTTAAAGCTGAAAAACACTAAGTAGTCAAACTGCAAGCTGCCAACATACAACGCACAGGCCATAATCAAAGGATTACTTTTGACCAATGGAGAAAGCAGAGATATTTTCATTAGAATAATTTGACTTTGAGTGGGCCAAGAAGGAACATTAAGAATTAGCTTTCTCATAATCTATTAAAGGTGGGGATGTCTGAGACTCTGGTCATGCAGGAGAAACAAAGTATGAGAGCCAGTGCCTTGGCATTGTATTGTGCAATATCAAACTACCTACTTCCCCAAGGCAAGGCATGTCTGGCAAATAACTAAACTCCTATATCATGACTGGTGATATGGGAATCCACACAAAAGTTACTTAATCCTTCCTCAAGGAAAAATTGCATTGAATTTCTAATTGCAAGAATAAATTCAAACATTCCAAAGGCACAATTCTGACAAAGTGAGAGGACAAAGAAGATGCAACCTGTCCATGGACATGAATAGAAATCCTTTCCTGACAATTGGACACTTCACTGAAATTAGATAGTTGCCCATCACAACATGCTTTCATCCTCATCATAAATTTTAAATTTCATGACCAGGTAAAATTTCGAAATGAAATAATGGAATAAAGTGTCAGTCGTATTTTTGACCTGTTTCTTTTCCCCATTAATTGCGTCAAGTTCATTTTTCATACCATCTTTAACTTTGACATTTTCCATTATTTTGAAGAGCATCGTGAGGTCATTAAACATGCAATTGTTATCAATGTGATCGGTAGGTTGTGCGCACATTCATTGGAATTTTAGGAAAAATAAAATTGGGCTCTGCTTTTTAAGACTACTCCGGAGCAAAATGAAAAACACCTGTTTGGATCCCTAGTTAAGACTACAAATCCTATCAACCAGAAATTGCCAGAAAATCAGTAAAGGAGGTTTGTCTGGGGCTTACTAGAAAAGTGCAAGTTCAGATAAGCACTCTTGAAAGCAAATCTTATATGGAAATATAATCTAATAAGAAAAATAGCAAACACTAGCGAACATGCTACCAGGCTCCAAAATACTGATTATTTCAAATTAATCATTCATCCTTTATGAGTAGAAATGCTCTTGATGACGAAGAATTCAAGGAGAGCTATCTCTAATAGTAGAAAAAATTATCTTTATATCCCTCGGTGAATCATACTGCAAAAGACAGGGGGGGAAATGAAGTCATTCATGGATGACACCAGGTCATTGGGTAAATCTTCTACCAGACCCAATGAACTCAGGCTTCCCTTTCTAGAGTTTTGTCATCGGAGAGAGGAAATAGGAAAGAGATACTAAGGGTATAAAGAGAAATCAAGCCGCCTCGCCTCAGGAAACATATTAGGGGGAGCGAGAGAGTGAGGCAGGGGAGTGCAATGGGGGACATTAGAATAGGTTGGGGAGAGAGGAAGACACATTGGAAGAAGGGAGGGGATTCTATCTCTGCCATCCAAACACTTCCCCATCAGCAGCTTTCAAACATACCCTAACAGATAAATCCAGGTCTTGGTTTTCTGCTTCTATTTTTAGCATGCTCTTCGGTACAGGAGTAATTTAACATCACGGGCCAGGAATACAAGCACTTTTAAACACACCCCACGAATGGCCGCCCTCTAACGGGTACCTGTACATTCTCAATGAATATTCATTGAAAACCGGAGATGCTTCAATAAAGTCCCATTCAAAACTGGAACTTCATGGAATCTTCTGGGAAGCGACTACCTGTACAACAGGCACTAAAACCATAGCATGCGCGTCCTAGTTCCAGAAGGTGTTACGAAGAGCATAGACTTTCTGTGTAAGAGCGATAGAGGGCAGACGTGAATTCCGAGAATAGGAAATTACGATAGGAGAGGAAGCAGGGGGAGTGAATGAGTGGGGACAGCTGGGGCATCCAGGAAGTTTCTCCGTTTCCATTCCAGAAAGTGGGTCAGGATGGGGCAGCAGGTAAGTCTCCCCCTCTTTCAACAGGAAGGGGAAGCAGGAAGAGCGAAACTGGATCGATGCCGAATACGACGACAGAAGGCTCAAGTTGTCATGTCGCAGCATGCGAGGTATGGACCTTACGGGACGGGACGTCCTGTCCCCATTCAACTCCCTCTCTCATTCATCCCCCCTTCCGATCAATGAATCATTCATACATCCACATCTAACCCCACCAGGAAGAGGAAGTGAACCCCTCTCCCCCCACACTTACTCGTGCGCCGCAACATCCTAAGCGTTTCGGCGAATCACAGGATCCGTAAATACCCTCTTCAGGAAATGACTATACCCCTCGTGAGACGGTCACTTCCCCCCCACTCCGGTCTCCTTTCCAAGAAGGGAATAAAGGCCTGTTTACCTAAGCGAGGTGAGCCTCCCACGCGTAATTGACCCGGCATGCAGGGTTCGACGCAGAATCTTGCCTTTCTTTACTTTCTTTTCCCTCCCATTCCTCTTCCGCCTCGGCCCAGAAACAAGAGCTTCCCCTTTCCCCTAATGAGCCCAAATGGTGACGTGGATGGATATTCCCGGGGCCGGACCAAGGAACGCCACCGTCTTCCCTCCTCGCAGGGAAACAGGAAGGCACGAAAACCCGCGGGTCCTCCTTCCCGGAAGTCACTTCCTTCCCCCTAGGAGGTCACCTAATGACCTTTCCAGCCTCATAATAACTCGTCACTAAACGGCAGGTGACCTTCGATCACACCTACAAGCGCCTCCGTAAAGGTCAGCATAACGTATCAGAAGTGCACCAAGACCCGTCCAGCCACTCCTGTCACGAACGGAGACCTTGTACCGTCCGAAAACCTGTTTCATGCCCACACAACCTATGCAAATCAAAAAGATCCAGTATCGGAGCGAGCTTGCGAAGAAATGCCACCCAATATGGATCTCCCCAACCCATCCACTTACAGGTGATCTGTTGGCAGTTGACCCGACTCTAGGCAAGTCATATTTGTTTGCAAGGGTACATAAAATCCCCAGCAATGTAGTTTCCTCCCCCCGGCCCTTTTTGTTTTAAAAGAAAACATGCGCTTTTATGCGGGTGAGAATGGAGACATAAACGCAGTCAGGCTTTCGAAGTCATGAATCGGAAACGCTAGACACAAACTTATCGACTTCTCTACAACGGAAGGCGGCGGTTACTGGGAGGACTTAGGTGACCCAGTTTTACCTGTCTGGTTCCAAGAGAAAAATGAATGGGAGATAACGCGTCGATAACGGATAAATAGAGCAGGAATTCTGGGAATCAGCACGAAACGCAAGTTAGATCATATCTCAACGGCAGGCAAAGTCCCGGGAGTCGGCAGGTTGGGATGAGCAATCCGGGGAGACGCACTAAAACGTGAGTAGGCATTAGGCATATCGGTACCCGCAACCTGGGAGGTGAAAGGCTCCAGAATTGCAGCCGGCGAATAGTGGCTGATGCCGGGAAAATGACTAGTACGGGAGAAGGACCGGATGAGAACGCGGAACGAAGCGCAGAAAAGGAAGCCAAGAGGCCTCTTTCCGAGAAGTCTGGTAATTGCAGTGGCGGATGTCATATTGGACCCAGTAATAAACTACAGACAGAAACTTTACGATGACGGTCTTTACCCTGCCTGCTTCCGAGTATGATATCCCCGATCGATCCAGGAAAGGCGACGGGAATCGGAACGTGACAACCCCGATGAAAGAAGATTGGACTCGGGATCCACTGAAACGTGACACTGGGAGGGGAGTCGGCAGGATCCCGTCATTCATTCAGGCATTCTTTCATTCATTGCCCTTCGCCTCCCTCCCCTCATTCATGAGAATGCTTCCGCTCGGTCACAATGAATCCGACCTCCCCACTTCCTCTCCCATTCCCAATCCTACGCTTCGTTTGGCAGCTCATGGTAGGCCTACGCTTCGTACCTTTTGCGAGAGATATCCCAGGATGAGGTAGTTGTATCCAGCATCTTCCTCACAGAGCTTCTTGCACACGTAGATGTTAGAGATCCCCCCGCCGGCAACTGGAACCCAACCCCCGCTGGACTCGTCGCGACGCATCACTTGAGCCTTCACTCGTACAAGTGTGTCAGCACTGATGAAAGCAATCATAAATCATACACTTTAAAACATTTTAAAATGTAAAACTGCACAACTGCCATCGAGCAAGGCAACTCACCCATCTAGGATGTCATTCATATTGCCTTCTCCATTTCTGAGATCGGGATGTTTGACAAAAAGGAACACCTGCTGGGGGAATTCAGGTATGATGAAACACCGCGGTGAACCTGTGGCTTGTGCATCATTTGAACTTCATCCTTGAGAGGTGCTGAGTTTATCCTGAGCAATACCAACACAGCACCTGCTCAAGAGGTTGGCTAGAGTTCTTACCCCAGTTAAATCACATCATATGTGTGACCTGAAACATTGAATTTGGCTGTAGCAAAACCCAGAACAGCAATCACATTCTCAGTACAATATAGTTATTTGGCACTGATTCTTCTATCAAGGTAATCTAATAACTATGGATGAAACATTTACTCTTTGGTTTCAAGAAAGTTATGCTTCAATAGTCCAAAATGGTGCTTTTCATCCTTCAATTTGCTTTACTCTTAGATGTCAACATCCAGAAGAAATCATGAGTCAAAAGCCATCAAAAGTAACTCCGACAACTACACCGCATAATAACGGATGTCAGATACTCAAGCATATTCATAAACTTTCCCACAAATTATGCAAATTCCACTCAAAAGGTACACTTTTCATGTTCCAAAAGTATGCTTTAACTCCATCAACTGCTGTGCAAGGTGCATAAACCAGGTCAAGATCCTATTTATACTGCCAAGGAACCCCTGGAAATATTCCAAACTTCACTAAAATGAGAACTAAAGGGAATTGAGAACTAGTTTTGAGCAGGTGGAGATAAAGAATGAGGTAGAAAGAAAAACATTGCCAGAAGAATGAATGTTCCTTGTGGCATGTATCTAGTGAAAATCAGAGAACCACTTAGTGTGCTAGGGCATCTAATCACTTGTAATTTGTAATCAGGCCAGAGCACATAAGGAAGGATTCCCTGGAGACAAACTCATTACCCCTGCTTTCTCTTCTGAGTCTTCCTCCTCTAAGATGATCTGGTTTCCTCGACCAGGGAAACTAGCTCAATATGTCCTTATCAACCCTGTAACCAGCATGACAGTACCCCAGATGGGAGCAGCAATCACCACTCTTTTTCTTTTATCCTCCAGGTACTCCAATTTCCAAAACTTAAACTAAGACATTAGCAGCTTCTCTTTTTCCAATTGAGCCAAAGAGAGTCAAGACTGATGACACTGGAGATGAATTTTAGAATCCACTTTTAGCTATTTTTCACAATCAGCTGAATTTACTGCTGAATTATAGCACAAAATAGGTATGTCCATGCAGATCAGAGTCTCTGGGAATGTCTTCTGGAGATACATGGTATAGGAGAGAGGAATACATGCCTATAAAGGTTTCCTCTGAATTAAGAGCAATGACCCATTCATGAAGTTACTAAGGATGAGGTCTCCCAAAAAGGCCTTTTGACAACTTGTTCCATTAATTTTTTTTACTGAGAGTTGCAAAAGAAAATTGGCTTAAGTCTGAACAGAGTTCTTAAGCAGGCAATCACGTGTGAAAGGGAAAAACATGTCGAATTGAATATGGAAAGTACAAATTATGTCCACTTAAAAATAGGTTACTTTTCAATCACCCTGTATATCGCTCAAGCATGAGAGGGCATTATAACAGAAAATTTCAAATAACTCAACAAGAGGATGCTTGCTACTCAAGTCAGGCTTACATGAAAGAAAATGCAACTCACCATCATGATAGACTACACTCAGAACAAATCATGAGATTTTTTACCTCCAATTTAGTCAACTTTAATCAAGTAGTACAAGGGGTACTTGCATAGATTTGATCAGGGTTGCATTTTGCATATATAACACTTATATTAGGTTGAGGAAAAAGTTTGTGCGCCGTTTGCGACGTTGAAGGTGAAGGTATGGTGCCACCGTACCTTCACCTTCAACGTCGCAAACGGCGCACAAACTTTTTCCTCAACCTAGTATTAACTCTTATAGCCAAAAAAAATTGCATATAATTCCTTTTCATTTAGCCCTAAGAGGCATAGGCTTCACACTAAAAGAAGTAAATAAACAAGAAATATGCCTATAGCAGAGGAACAATTGGAGAAAGAGAGAAATGAAAAAATAAGAAGCAAGGCACCAAATGTCCTCAGTACTTTTGATGAAGCCTATGTAAGCCTGAAAGATGATGACTCATAAGGGAAAGACTGTGTGAAGCAGCATAGGCCTACCACAGGCTCAATTTTAAGTCTTAATATAGCAAGGTCTTCTGAATTATGCCATTTCCTTCCATAGTGGGTGGACTAGAAAAGCCTAGTCCTGTCTCCTAGGTGATAAGGCCACCAGCTTGGCTGGTCTCCTAGGAGACTGATGATATTGTTCATTAAGCAGAGCAGTGCTATCCGAAGATTAAACCTTCTCCTCTCAGAAAAACATAGCATCATCTAGTTTGCTAGAAATATACAAACCTTGTGCATCTTAATCCCAGAACTTCACTCCTAAGACAAGACCCAAGAGTAAATTTTGGAGACTGGGTGATATTGTCTATAGCATTGATTACTTCAGAAGCCTATCATGTTTGCTAAATGCAAAATTATTCCTCAGCATAACAAACCTCTGCAGAGTTGGCCTTCTCTGGAGGCAACTACTTGTTTAATGAATAGAACCTCTTGATTACAGTTTCCTAATTTGTGAACTAGCTGTTCAGATTCTACTTCCTACACCAAACTTTTTATACTCCAAGAATATTAATAAATTAAAAAACTGCACTGCAGAGGGGGCTAGACCTGAAATTCTTTCCGCATACAAATTAGGTAAATAGAAATAGGGCTAGCCTAAAGTGGTAGACTGGAAATCATAGCACTGTGTATTAGTCAATGCACTTCAATATTTGAGTCAAGCACGTATACTCCATGGATGAGTATACTCCATGGATGACGAGGAAAGCAGCACAGACTGCAGCCAGCCAAAGCAAGTAGAGTGAGGATAAGGGGATAGCAGAGAGAATAGGATTGACTGTCCAGTGTAAAGGTCAGCAAGCCAATCTATCTGATAATTGGGAGGTTCAAGTCCTGGTCATTCTTCAGCCTTCCTTCCACTTCTTCCTTTGATAATTTTTACAGTAAAAGAACATCTTCTAAAAGTATAAATGTATGCCACCTTGCATTAGGTATTGAAGCAGAAAAAATATATCCTCTAAGTTTCCATTTTACAAACCTGTGTCCAAACATATTATTCATGTATCCAATAGCCAAAGGTATCCCAGCCTATTCATAAACCTTACTGAACCAACACCTATGGAACTGCAACATTATATAAGTCTAGGCGTCCTGGCTTTTGGCCAGGACTTTCTTGGACTGGTTACCTTTGTTGGGCCTAGCTTTAGTAGACTCGAAAGCGCGCGACATCGCCGTTGTATCCATACTCCTCCTAAACTTAGCCTAAAATCATTACTTCCGAGCACAGTAAGTCGGTACGAGGCCCGGAGGAATGTTCTAGCAATGCCACGCGACCGAAGCACTGCGACTGCGGGAACAAAAGCACTCCTCCACGGGGGCTGGCACTTGCTAACCACAAAACTCTCAATGGTCGCCATTTTCGATTTTATGAATGAAACAAAGAAGCTCCGCCTCTGTGGCAGTGATGCCAAATGTTCCGATTTCCACCAACGCGTGGCGTGACTCTCGGCTCCATTTCGGCCTACGTGACTGCATCTTTCAATGGCGTATTCCCAGCTTCACTCTACCGTCGTATCTTCGACCCATCTGACCGACGACTTTAAAAATTAGTTCTCGTAGGAACCGGTAATAACCATTGAGAGAGCCGGTTTCCGCCTTTGTGGCCGAGACCCTGATAGGACGGCATCGATCCCCTCGTCAGTGCCCCGCACCTGCCGTAGTTGCACAAAGCATCAATAATCAAGAGGACCGAAGAACGCCCAGACGAATGCACGTGCGCCGCCATTTCAGTCTTTTTTTTCGCGAACCAGCAGTTATTTTTACTTCGCGATGCGAAGGATCCACTCTGATTTTATCGCTCGCAACGACGAAACAAGAAACAGAAGCGATTTTTCGAAAGTTCCAATCATGCTCCGTGGGATAATAACTAAATTCTTTTCTAATCTCCTACTTCCCTTTTCCTTTATGACACCGCAACAAAAAAAAATTGGTATCACGTCTCACAAACGATGATGAAGCAAGAAGCAGGCGCTTCATAATTAGTGCCGAGCTGCACTTTTTCTCCTCCAACTGCTTCAAGTTGCAGAGTTCGAGTCGAATTCCATTAGGATTACTTCTCGAGGTCGTCGATGAGCTGAGCCGGTCTTGCGACGATTGGCTGAAAGAAAGGCGAAAGTGCGCGCGATCACGAATCCCCAAAACGGCGGAGATTCGTCACTTCCGCGAGATTTTCCCTTCCGCACTGCCACAAACCGGTCTGACGAAACTCGGATTCCTCTCGCCACGAGGCTTCGGCTTAGACCGAACGCGCCGCGAAACAAGGAAAGATAACATTACCGCCTCCTCCATTCCATCCTTAATCCATTGATCCAATCGGCCCGCGCCGACGGGCCGGGGACGCCCCCACCCCGAAGACGGCAGCGGCCTCACTGAAGCATCCGACCCCGCACGCATCCACGCAGGCCCCATTCAACCTTCCCGTTCATGAATGGATCGGCGTCGCGCGCCCTAGCACCCCCGCGACATCTCGCGGAGCGCTCCCTCCCTCCCTCCTTCCCGCCCTCCTCTCCCAGGGTTCAGACCGAGTCCGCTTCTTCGCGGCTTCGGTCGCTTCTCCGTCTTAAATAACACGTGTAGTTTGTTGCCCCCTTACCACCGATACGAGATCGAGTTCGATCAAGACTTAACGCGTTATATCCTCGTAAGACCTGGGCGTATCAGATCCCATGGGTCTCAACTTTTAGGGGCTGAGGAAGATATCATATTAGATGATGCAACTAACATAACAAATAATAATTAGGGCTGTACCGACGGCCATATTTGGCCTGTGGGCCGATGACAAATTTTGATCTCATACCGATCGGCCGACTGCCGATGGGTATGAGATCGAGTCCAATCCAATTTTTTTTGTCCCTCCTTTGGGCATCGGTATCGGCAGCTGGCAGCGATACCGGTTGTGAAACCTCGGCGGCCGATATCGGCGGTTGCCGGTACGTCGGTACGGCCCTAATAATAATCTTATGATGTTATATAACTATTAGTGCATAATAATGAATAACATGTAATGTACATTAGTGTATACGATAAACCAATAACTAATAGAATAAATAACATAAAATAAAAAGCCAATAATTTTCCCGACAACTCGGCGAAAAAATGGCCGAAAATGAAACAATAATTCGAAGGAGTTCGGGAAATTTGAAGGTGAAAACCTTTATATAAGGAAAAAAAAAATTATTTAATTTCCACTATTTCCTTTGGGCCGATTCGACCCGATTGAAAG